TTTTTTTTTTTTTTAATATAGCTTTTAATCTTCTAATATATGAATGGGTCACACGCTATGCTGTATCATAGTAGCACATATTCTATAGTAAACATAGCGTGTAAACTATGTAATACTGCAGTTTAGAAAACCGCTTGATTTGTTCATTAGGGAAACACAATCTTAAGCAATTCATTTATTGCTTCAGTCTCTGCATAGTTTGTGTTCTGGTTCCCTACTGGCGCTCTCTGATGGGAATATACAATCAATGGGATGGCTCCAACAAACAGGTGTTTACTCTCTAACGGTTTGGAGGCTTTAAGTCCGAGTTCAAAGGGCCAGGCTCTACGGGCTGGGTGAGAGCCCCTCGACCTTGGGCTTCAGCTCTGCCTCTGGCACCAGGCTCACTGGAGCTGGAAGCTTTTCTTCACTCAGAGAACTGCCGGCTGGTGAGGCTGCCAAGCCCAAGGTTGACAAGTAAAAAGGCACAGTCTTGATGTTACCAAACCACACGGCAGGCCATTCATTCAAGTCCATTGAAAGTCCCAAGATTGGCAGAGCATGGCAGGCTGCTGAACAATGACGCGGCTACATGCAGGGTCCAAGGGTGCAGTAAGCTAGAGACTGTTCCCTAAGGCTTCTCCTTGTATACAGGAAGCAGACCACACCCCAAAGGCAGCTACTGACCTGCTCACAGTAGATTCCACCATGGAGTTGATTACCAGTCTCATCATGGGGAATGCTACATCCAGCTGCCCAGCCACTCCACCAGGCCCAGCGAAGTTGACACACAAACTGACTACCACACTCTGTGTCACGTACCTTCTCAGATGTTCACAGAAGTGAAGAGAGACACAAATCTCTGCTTCATGGAGCTTCAGTTTGGGCGACAGAGCACACACCAGATAATTAGATGATTATGGAGCTGAAAAGGACAGGTTGGCAGCTGGTCTGTTCCAGGCATAGCCAGACCCAGGGCTGCTAATAGCATCAAGCCTCATTTGTGCCATCCCTCCATCTCTGGTCCCCACTTCAGTCTATTGGCCTGCTCCCAGGATCCTCCAGGAATGGGGACTATGGCAGTAGCCCCCCTAGAATCCCATCCTGCTGGCCCATGCAGATTTTCCCCAAAATCCCAGGAAGGGATTTGATTGACTCATGCACTTATCCCTGAAATACCAAGAAAGGATTCAGTTGGCCTGTGTGTTTGCCACAAAATCCCAGGAAAGGATTTGATTGGTTCATGTGTTTCTCCCAAAGTACCAGGAAAGAATTCAATTGGCCTAGCTTGGGAGCTCTGGTAGCATAGTGGCTAAGACACTTGCCTGCTAACCAGACGGCTGGCGGTTCAAACCCACCAGCCACTCCCCGGAAGGAAGGTTGGGCAATCCTACTTCCGTAGTGATACTGCCTCGGAAACCCAAGGAGGGGTCGCTATGAGTCGGGGCCGACTCGACGGCACATAACAACAACAACAACAACAAGCTTGGGTCTCATGTCTATCTCTAGGCCATTCACAGTGATTGGTCCCGGATCATGTGGCTGGCAGGACAGTCTGTCACGGTGGAAGTCCTATCAGAATGACATGGAAAGTTGATACCGGAAGAGATGTTGGGGTTGGGGTGGAGGGAGAGGAACGGCGCATGTCACTCAATCACGCATGTCACCCTGCATCACCATTCAGAGCCCCACCCTCTGTCTTCCAGATCCAGGAGTGGGAGTCCCGACTCTTTTCCCAACATAAGGGTGTCAAGTCTCCGGGATACACCATGGATCAGAAGGTCAAGATCCGGAGGCGGATCAAAGTTCTGGAAGACCAGCTGGACAGGGTGAGGGTCTCTGCAGGCCTGCACTCTGGAGGCTGGGGGGCAGATTGACGGGGGTGGGGCGGGGCTGAGTTCTGGAAAAGATGGACCAGGTTCCTGGGTGTGGGATGGCCCAGAATACAGAGAGACCGAGGGACAGGATCCCAGAGGGCTGGAGGGCCCTCACCGGAAGGGAGGTTGATGCTGGGGACCCTTAAGGGGGGCACGGCGTTGCTCAGGGTCCCCTCCTCAGCTGAGCGCGGAGGAGCCTGGCTTCAGGAGGCCTGTCATTGCTTACTCAGGTCACCTGCCGCTTTGACATCCAGCTGGTGCGGAACGCGACGCTCAGGGAAGAGCTAGACCTGCTGCGGGTCGAGAGGAACCGCTATCTGAATGTGGACCGGAAGCTGCACAAGGTCCGCGGCCTGCAGCCTGGGGCCCGGGCCGGCCCCGCGGGCGGAGCAGAGAGCCGCCCTCCCCCCGACTGGAGAAACATTTGGGGGGGGTGGTGTTGTGAATATTGTCACCCTGGACAACCAGTTAGCAAGCAAGACCGTTTACACGCCGAGGGTACCCCACAAACTTCAGACGTCCTTGAAGGACCCCGTTTCCTTCTTAACTGTTCCCTTCCTCCTCCCTCTCTCTGGTGGACCTTTTATTTTGAATGACTTAAGACTTTGACAAGAGATGCTCGCATAGCGCCCAGAGCCCCCCTCCCCTGCTTTCTGAGCCCTCCCCCCACAGCTGCTGGGTCTGACGTGGTCTCTGATGTGTGTCCCCCCCACCCCAGGAAATCCAGCTTCTTCGGCAGGCTGTCAACACCCTCATGGTCTCCTCCACCTCGGCCTACACCGTCAGGTAGGACCCCCGGAGGCATCTCAGGTGGCTGGGCCAGGTCACTCAGGACGCATCCGTTCTGCGAGGCTCTGCCTGGGAGACCCTGGACTCCGGAAGGCCGTCAGGGCAGAAGCTGATGTTTCCTGGTGTCCGCTTTGCCTGCCTCCCCTGCCCAGTGCCCAGCCCCGTGGGAATGAGGTCCGCCCTCCTCCTGGCACTGTGTGATTCTTCTTACCTCCTCGCCTGGGTCACAAGGGGCACTTTGAGTTGTGCCACCCAGGGCACTCTCTCTGCCCTCTCCCCAGCCTGTGTCATAGTTTCCTTCCTCATCAGTGTCTCCCCACCTCCGTCCCTGGGGATCTCCTATCTCTGTCCTCTCTCCCGGTCTCTGCACCCCACGCCCAGCGGCTGCAGCGACGGGTTAGGGTGAGAGGTACCGCCTCCAGCTCCCCCCGGCCCCGCCCCCCAGTCCTCGCTGAGTGTCTGCGTGTGGTCTCCTCCCTCAGTCCCTCCCCATCTTCGTCTCTGCCCCCCTCTCTTCCGAATCCCAGTCCTGTGAGCCAGCTTCTCATGTCCTTGGCCTCGGGCTTTGCGCGCCCCCTCTCCCCAGGGAGGAGGCGAAGACCAAGATGGGCTTGCTGCGGGAGCGGGTGGAGAAGGAGGTGGCGCAGAGCGAGACCGAGGCGCAGGGCCTGCAGCGGCAGATCTCGCACCTGGAGCACTTGTACGCCTTTCTCACGCTCAAGAGCAACGAGCGGCAGCCGGATCCCGCCGTCCTGGAGAAGCGGGAGCAGCGAGGTGAGGCCGGGGCTGCCACCTCCCGCCGGGCGCAGGGTCTCAAGGCCTGGACAGGCCGGCAGGGGGCACCAGAGAGGGGCGGGGCCGCGAGGGGCGGGGCCGCGAGGGGCGGGGTGGAACCTCAAGAGGGAGGGTCTTAGGAAAGCTTGTTGTTGTTATGTGCCGTGGAGTCGGCCCCGACTCATAGCGACCCCTCCTTGGGTTTTCGAGGCAGTATCACTACGGAAGTAGGATTGCCCAACCTTCCTTCCGGGGCTGGTGGGTTTGAACCGCCAGCCGTCTGGTTAGCAGGCAAG